GAAGGGTATAGTACAAGTCTACCTATTCCTGCTCAAATTGAACCTGCATGTACACATAAAGTTGCAATGTTAAAGAGATTACAAGGGCTTAGAAGCCCCTGGAGGGTCATTGATCTGGCCTTGCAAACCCTGTCCACAGCCCTTTAGAAAGAGCTGTGGTCTATGCCCTGCTTCTCTGGCTGTTTTAATTTTACCTCTCTTCTCATCTATCTTAGAGGGAAAAGCTTCTTTATGGCCAATACTCCAAAGATTCTCAGACTCCTTGCTTTGAAATTAAGTATTCATGCACTCTAAACAGTAATCCAGACTGTTTTCTGTAATGTGTCAGATACTAAATAGTTAGGACTATGTGGGCTATGGTCTCATCCTCAATGATTCAGATCCACTGCTGTCACAAAACAATGAAGAAGATGAAATATCAACAGATGAGCTAGGCTTTGTTCATATATAAATGTAGTTTGAATTTCAGATTATTTCCCTAAAGCATTGATTATTGTCCTTTTAATCCCCCCCCCTGCTCTTCAGAATAGTAAAATCCAGTTTTGAATCATGTCCATACAAAAGACCCAAGGCTTACATTTGGCCAAGAGGCCAGAGTTTGCAGGCCACAGCTTAGATATTGGTGGTTCACAGTGTGGACCCTGCAGCAGACACATAGCATTTTGGAACTTCTCAGGAGGGCAGACTCTTGGGTCCTACCTTAAACCAAGAGAACCAAAACCTGAGTCCAAACAAAAATCTCCAAGCAATTTATATGCAGATCAAATCTGAGATGCCTTGCTCCGGAAGAAAGATGTTTATAAGCAGACTTGGAAGATCATCTGCTAAATGTCTCTGAGACTCTGTTTCCCTCCCACTAAAAGAAGTGGACAGCCACACCCACATTCAAGTGTTGCCAAGCCCAAGGGAAGGGATGCAAAACACTTGTCTGGTGTATCACTGTTTTCCACAAGGTGGCTAGTATTAGAGAAGATTGCTTTTTTTCCCCCCCTAACCTTACTTGCAAAGATGAGAGCAGTCACTTGGGATTTCCAGTACTGGACAGGCAACCTGGATTTTCAAAGAGCTCCTAGAACTAATTGGAATGTTGGGAACTAAGGTAAACCAGATTCAGTCCTATCTAAAGGGAAACCTCTCAAGAGCCACCAGTTAGTATCAAGTAGGAAAGCTGACTTGACACTATCAAATAGTTAGATTTTTTTTTTTATTTTCTAGAAGTCAGAAAGTTGAATTTAATATTGGGGGGATTACTTGTTTAATATGCCAAGCCCAGCAAACAGAACCCAGTAACTACTGGATGACTTGAGCCTTTGGGTTGTGATCACAGCTTTATAATAAGTCACAGAGGCAAGTGGGTCACAGGGGATGAGCATGATTCTCAGTGGCCCAGTAGCCATAACAAAGTGATGTAACCGCTGGGAGCTTTGCTTTTCTTACCAATAAAATAATAACACCTGCCTCACAAAGTTTGATACATTTGTATAAAAAGATTGTTATACACGGGAACCTGACACCCACCAGTCAGCCTGTCCAGTTATTGCAGGTGTTCCATGATGGAGATCTGACACTATTACTGCTATCCATTAGTATCTGGAGATGCTGAGATCCAACTTTTACATGCAAGTCTCCATGCCCCGCCCCAAGACTAGATGCAAGTGTGCAAGTATAACTGGCTCCCAGTAGCTCTCTTGCAGCAGATGCACTATACCCAGCCATAGTCCATGATGCTGCCTTCCATAAGCACCATTCTTTCTGGCGCCTTAAAGCTGTGGAGCTTCCCACTAAGCTCCCATAAGACAATGCTTTCTCCTCACTAGGTCATCTACAGGGAACAGAGTCCACCTAGGCTTCCAGTTGCTCCACAGAAAGTACAAGAATTGTGAGTCTGCTTCCCAAGGACTCACATGACCCCTATTTTTATTAGAAATTAAAAAATATCCACATTGGCTGCCTAAAGGAAAACGGAACAATAAAAAAAATGGAAGTATACCATCGTTCAGCAAAGTCCTTGTAATAAATACAATAATTGTTTTGAAAAGACCCACAGTATTTTATAGACATCCTTCCCCCCTTTCATGGCAAGACCTAAAGTGAGAAGAACAATTTTTCCATTCACTTTACTAGGTATATTCACTCAGTGCCTCTCAATGTTAATGTACTTGCAAGTCAGCCAGGTACCTTGCTCCTCCCATTCAAGACAGATTCAGTGGGTCCAGGGATGTGATCCAGACTATATATTCCTAACAAGCTTCTAGGAGCTGGAATGTTGGTTTCCTTAACAGCTCTAATCAGCAAGATTCTCCTCCCTTTCTTCATTTGATCTCCACCCAAATGTCATCCCCTTGGAGTCTTTGCATGAACCACCCTATCTAGGATTTAATTCTTTGTGGATTGGGGCCAGAATCCTGATTGTCTCTTGCAGAGTGGCCACCACCACCAGAGCACCTGGCATATGACAGCCATTCAAATATTTGTTCTGTAAAGTCTTCCAGCAGGACAGGAAAGGGAGTCCAAGTCTTCATCCAAGGTCACAAAGCTAGATGCAGAACAAATGCCAGCTAAATTACGGGTGTACTTCAAAGTCCCAGGTCTGAATACAGTGCCAGAAGAAAGCAGTTTGTTTTTTCTGTACTTCCTTCCTAGAGCTCATGGCTCTTTGGGCTGGGAGGCAATACCTTAATTATGTCTTAATCTGAAGAGACGCCTAGGTGGGCAGTGGGATGGAGGAGGACTGAGCTGGATGCACACAGACCAGTAAAGTGATTGAGGTCACAAGGGAAAGTCTTAGGATTTTTGTTGTTGTTGTTGTTGTTGTTGTTGTTGTAATGACTAATCTTCATTATCAACTTGGCTGGACTTAGAGTCACCTAGGAAATGTATGTCTAAGTATGTCTATGCAACTCTTTCCAGAGAAGTATAACCAAAGAGGAAAGATCCATGCTGAATGTGGTAGATGCCATCCCATGGACCAGAGTGTCAACATTCATCTTTCTGTGCTTCCTGACTGTGGCTACAGTGTGACTGGCTGACTCAAGCTTCTGCCCTCATGTCCTTTCTATCATGCTAGATTACCCCCAGACAAGCCCCCCCAAAAAATTCCTTCCTTAAGTTACTTCTGTCATACAGTTTGTCAAAGCAATACAACTTGGAATGTAGGGAAAGGAAACAAGCATTCTCCTTGTGTCAGAGCAAAACCAAGCTCCCAGTACCTGACACTCCAGCCCTTCTTCCTATATAGACATCAGTGTCCATCATTGGCCTAGGGCTCCCCAGTAAAAGAAGGTTACAAGGCCATTTAAGAGAAGACTACAAAGATTACTAGAACCCAAAGATGATCAGGCAGAAGGTCAGCCAAGCAGTTTCCTGTCCAGGATAGGAGGAAACACTATAAAAACCCCTATTCATGGCACAAAGGGACGCCTTTTTGCTGGCGCTAGGGGGAAATTACTTCCATGTGAAAACTCCTTAGTTCGATGAAAAGGTCTCTTTTCCTTCATGGGTTGAAAATAAAACCCTTGTTTTCCCATCACAAAATCAGCTGGGTTAAGATGATGTAAAGTTCTAAGAAGCTATGACCATGAAGGTCATAGTGACCCTGGCAGGAATCTGGAAACAACGAAATTCGTGCACATTTACTCTGGGCCTGAAATAAACAAACAACTTTCAACATCTCATGTAATTCCTGGGTAAATATCCCATCTTAACAGGTAGAGAAATGGGGAACTATGGACCCTTAGGGGCTGAATGCTCACAGGTCACATGGCTGAGGAGAATAAGGTTTGATCCATATACCCTCACAGAGCCATTTGCCAATGGACTTTGCCCATCATCTCCATTACATTGCCAGGCATCAACAGAGGCCACGAGCTAGTCTCTCATATTGAATTTTACAAAATGAGGTTTCCCTATCCCAGCACCTGTGAAACCCACTTTTGTACCAGAGACACCCTAGGGCCTGTCCACAGGGTCTGCCCATAGGTGCCACACCTACTTGAGAACAGCACTGGCACTATTGATGAATGCCTATGTCTCCAATCACATTATTTATAAGGTCGTCTGCCTGACTCTGCTACACTACTCATCAAATGCTTGAAAGCCCCCCGAAACAAAGGCAGAGAGCTTGCCAGACTCGTCTGAGGTGGGAACAAAAGCACTTCATCTCTGAAGAAACCAGCTGGGAGTTTCCCTTAACATGGAGTGCCCAGCATGTGCCAGAGTTGTTGGAACGCAGAGATATGGGAAGACGGCAGGGGTGGGAAGTCACAGACAACTTTCCTCCTTTGTATCTAAAACAGTCTTCTTCAAAGAGCCTGTGAGTGGTGGGAAGGATGCTTTAACCCAAGAATGACACTAGGCAACTGTGTCTCCACTTTTTCCTTTTCATGAAGATGCCAGGGAAGAGGACTCACCTTTCCATCACCAAGAGGAGTCTGTAACACCCACACCCCAACTCTTCCCAACCGCAGCCCTACCCATCAGATGCAGTGGGAGGGTACCCAGATCCTTCCACTCCCAAACAAAATCATTGCAAACCAGCTGAGGCTGCCTGAAAATCAACATTCAAGGCACATTAATAAGAAACATCTGGCCACGGGAAGAGGGTTGACACAGCACAGGCAGGCAGTGGTGGATTTGTGGTTGGGACCCAGAGTTACAAGGGCTGAACTAAAATCACAATTGGAAAACACCAGTTAGTCTAGGCAATCCTCCACCCCCTGTACCATGGTGCCTGGCAACACCATCATGCTTCGGTTTGAATTGTTTGGGGCTGAGTTACCTAGACACTTCCCACTTAAAGCTCTGGCATCAGGAAAATGCATCTCCTGCATCCTCCGGTGTCTGGCCACCACTTCCACCTTCAATATTTGTAGCAGATGTAGCTGGGCTCTTAAAGGAACAGCGTTTGCATTCTTTCCATGTGACTTACAGGATAGAATTAAAAGGGGGGAAAGTGTATTTATTTTCCTCCCTACAGTGTTGTGCATTCAAGACCATCCTACCTCCATTTATGCAAGGCAAACCCAGGGCACTGGTCACCACAGGCGTTACATGGCTGGCCTCTCTCAATCCGACCCAGTCCGGTCAACTTCAAAACAAAAAGACAACATAAGCATGTCCACCACCAGGGCTTCCTTCAAAGACCCAGTTGTATCCTAGGGAGGGGGGGATGTCCCTCCCACCCTGCCTCTGTGACTGGACTCAGCTGTTTGCTGACATTGGGGACTTAGGACCAAATTCTTCCACCTGGAGAAGGGTGTGTGGTCCCAGGTGGGCTGGCTATAGAGCATGGGAACAAAATCACCAAGAAATGGCTTGGCTGGGCTTTGTCTCCCCCAGACACCTTGGTCACCGGTTTCTAAGAAACAAAAGCAAGACCTTTCTGTTCCTTGGAGTTGCAGGGACCACCTGGTGGCTGCCCTGGACTAAGCTGGGGTTCCTAGGAAGAGGGTAGCTGGGACGCCCAGAAGACAGCCCCAGGTCTGGTCTGGGCGCTGGGGTTCCCATTTTTCTTAAGAGAATGGGTAAAGGAGAGGATTCACCCCCGGCGCCCCCGAACCATGGCATTTAGGGTCCCGGTCCCTGGTGGCACTGTCGCGTGGCCTGAAGTGGGACCCAGCCCCTCGCGCGCCCGTGGGGCCAGCTTACCTGGGGCCACAGGTGCGCGGCCGCGGGGTGGAGAGGGGCTGGGCCCGGGCGCTGGCTGATGGCGGTGGGGACCGGGAGGGCGGCCCCGCTCGGGTGGAGGACACTCACCGGGCGGCGGGACAGTCTTTTCCGTGAGCTCCGGCTGAACATGGCCGGGCGCTTCCCGCACGCAGCGCTGTCGGTTAGATATGTCCACGCTGCAGCCACCGGGAGGGCTGGTGGCCTGGGCCGGCGCGGTCGTCAGCCGGGCGGTCTCTGCCTAGCTGTCCCGGCTGGATCGGGAGAGCACGTCTCCCCTCCTCCCTTTCCTCTGCAGCTCGCTCCCCGCCGGCTGGTCCCTCCCCTCTCCGCGTGTTCCCCGCCCTCCCCCAGCCAGTCCCATCCTCTCTGGCACCATCTGAGGCCACTTTCTCCTTTCTCCTGCTTCCTTGCCCTCTGGGGAGAACTCTTTGGCTGGCCCAGCTCCTAAATGCTCTTCTGCTCACCCTGGTCCCTGAAGTTAGGAGCAAGGAGCACTTCACAGATGTCAGGTGGAGAAGCAAAGATAAGAGATTTTTGTGTAAGATTTAAGTGACATGGAGTAAAAGTTAACCCATTTAGTGCATAGCTCTGGCCTTTTTGACAAATTCATACATTCAGGCGACTGTCACCACAATCACGACATAGAATAGTCTCATGACCCCTCAAAGCTTTCCTCGAAATCTAGTTAGCATTCATTAAGGTTGGTAGACGACTTAGAGAAAGGGGGAGGAGAGAGTATGGGTTGTGCTTCTCTAATTGTACGGAACCTGCAGTATAGTAAGTGTTCGTTGAATTCTTGTCAATTGTATTATGCAGAGAATGACACCACATACCTCAATTCCAACTCTTCAACTGTGTATTAGTGATCTCTCAATATTTGTTAAATTTGTATGTCTTATCAATCTATGTGTGTCTAATACAAATGCAAATATATATGTACACACACACCATTATGTAACACTGGCTGCCCTGTGTAGAAGACACTGGACACTGGCCTTTTAACTCACAAATGTTGGCCTGCCTCTGCCTCTTGAGCTGTGGTAATTTGAATGTAATTGGCTTCCATAAGCTCATTGGGAGTGGCATTATTAGGAGGTGTGGTCTTGTTAGAGTACATGTGGTCTTGTTGGAGGAAGTGTGTCACTGTGGGGGTGGGCTTTGAGGTCTCCTATGCTCAAGATATGCCCAGTGTCTCAATTCACTACTGCCTAGGAATCAAGATGTAGGACTCTCAACACCAAGTCTGCCTGAATACCACCATTTCCTGCCATGATGATAATGAGCTAAATCTCTGAACTGTGAGTGATCCCAATTAGATGTTTTCCTTTATAAGAGTTTCCATGGCCATGGTGTTTATTCACAGCACTATAGAAATCCTAACTAAGACATAAATGCTAACATTAAAGTTGTGTACCATTATGCCATGCCCTTCTCTCAATACTTTGTTAAAAGATGTAACAGAAATCTTTATCTGATGGTGTGGTTGAAGGATGAGTCAGGACATGTGAGCTGTGACAGGCACAAATTCGGGGCTCATTTGAAGATTGGGGCTCAAAAACAAGAATGTCTTTTAAGAGGCACAGGCTATAGTGTCCACTAGTCATTGATGTTTCGGCTGAAACAACACTCCACTGGGATCTCTCTACCACATCCATGTCATACAAAGCATACTCTGAAATTATCTGTTCTCAACCAAACCAAAATGACAGAAGGGCCATTGTCTTCTTTGCGTTAACACTTAACACGGTGCTTCCACACTCTAGATACTCCTGTAAGTCAAAAGAAGACCTCTTCTCGTTTTTAAAAAAGAGATGATTATCTAGCTTAGTATTTTATATATGGGACATTGGCATTGAATGAAAAAAGCCATCTCTGCCTGGGAAACACAGCAAGTGTGTGTGTGTTGGTGGGGGGAGACACCAGTGTACCTATCTATCAAAGACAAATGAATAGCAGGAAACAACTCAAACACCCTCCTCCATCAGAACTAGCCATCCATCTTCTCCAACAAGACAATACAGTTTAGTTTGGTTTCTGAACCACAACTAAGGGGAAGCATGTAAGGTCTCTGTCTCTGGACCAAAATTTACAGAGAACAAATTCAGCAATTGAGACAACTATTTCTGTACCATAACCAGAGAATCAAAATCACTATAAAAATATCCACAGAATCCTGCTTTATCTTACCCTGCCTCACCTATCTCACATTCATCTGGCCCTGATAAAAATGCTCTGAAACTCAGAGGGCAGCAGTGAGAGCTGAGTTGGTAAGTGCTTGCTGTGCAACTATAAGGACCCAAGTTCCATCCTCAGAGCCCAACTTAAAAACTAACCCAACCAAAGCTAGGTGGTGGAACATACATATAAACTCAGCTGGGGATGTGGAGGCAGGAAGAGCTTGATGGTTCGCTGTTCAGCCAGCCTTGACTATTTGGTGAGCTCCAGACCAACGAAAGGCCCTGTCTAAAAAAAAAAAAAAAAAAAAACAAAGAATATAACATCTGAGATAATATAGCAATGCTCCTGCACACACTTGAACATGTACACATGTACACTCACACAGGTACATGCAAAATGTTCTAAAATTCAGACTCATAAGACTGATTATCTTCTATTTCATCTATCTAAGTGGTGACCATCCATAACCATATTTTGTGGCAGTTGTAGAGAGTGAGATTGTCACAAGATCAAGCCAATCAACATTCCAACCAATGAGGAGAAGGGAGGGCTACATGATCTCCCACCCCATCTGGGGAGCTACTGGCATTTTATGGCTTCTGGTGGAGAGAAAGTCAATTTTCTTTAAGGGAGAGTCCTTTGGTAAGTCTACCAGGATGGATGGTCCACACCCATGAGTAGTATATAGGGGATACAAAGTGGGAGGAGGGGGGAGGATGAGGGTAAGCAGAGTCAAAATACATATATGCACATATCAAATTCTCAAAAATTAATAAAATATATTTTGTAGGTTAAATGTAAGGCAGTAGCTTCAGATGTTTTGGCAAGGGGAGGGTCAGGAGAGATTAAAATGGAAACTTTGCAGGGCAAGATGCTCACTGGACCTTGGCAGAGTTACTGCATATCCATCTCTGCCCCATGAAAAGGTTATGAGGAATAGCATTGGTGCTGAATTATGGATGCTATCTCTGTGCATTTTATGTGCAAAATTTTGGGGGATAGCACAGTAGGAGCATCAGTACTGTGTAATTTTCCAGGAGATGGATGGCAGGCGTCCTAAGGAAATTAAACCTTCCTCTGGTTGCCCAAAAGGATATACAGGAACTACTGGCAGGTGCCCAGTCTTGCTCCTGGATAGATGTGGCTGGTAAAGAATATGGCAATTCTGGCAATAATGACATCCTTGGGGATATGGTTCTATGAAACTTTTGTCATTTGGACAAAGAGGGGATACAAGAAAAATATGAGCGAACTTCATGAGTTATCAAAATAAACCACACTATAGTGTAGTAGTTTCTTCAGGATTAAAACATTCCCTCTTGGAAATTAGCATTAAGATGTTAGCAAGGAGGAAGAACACAGGCTGTTCTAAATGGAGATGATACACTGTATCTCACAGGGAAGATAAGGGACTCCCTGAAACTGACCAGCTTCACCAGGTTCCTCCCTCTATGGGCATATATGAATAGTAAAGACTGCAGGGAACACACTTAGACAAGCTGAGTTAGACAAGTGTCCCAGAAAGGACACTCAAACCTGTTAAGCTGCATGCAGGCTGTAAGTGTGCTCCAGATTTCCAAGATTCGTGAGCTGTTATTCGTGGGTGGGCTTTTGATGACACGGTTGTATTTGAGTCATTTCTGTTCCTGGAAGTAACCCATTATCCATACTCCTCAAAGTAATCCCAATAGAACTCTTGTTCACCAAACTGGACTTTGGTGGTATCCATACTTGGGTCTGTCATTAGTTCCTGGTCTAGAGTGAATAGACATTCATTCATGTCTCCCCGGGATAGTATCACAACACACCCACACCAGGCCCTAGCATACCCCCAAAATTAGGCCATAGAATAGCTTTCTCCAGACATACTTTTTTTTTATTTATTTTACATAACCAAGTCCATTTAAATGAAAACAAACATTTATAGACACTATTTGGGAATTTGGATGTCGTTCTTTCCGAACTATTTCCTGATGGTAAGGGGCGCTGTCATGGGGGATTCTAAGAAGATGCAGAAATCCTGGCTGTAGTCTGTAAGGCTACTTTGTCCAGCTGTTTGGAATGTAGGATCACCTGGTATTCTGTTTCAGGTGGTCTGGCTTGATCAAACAACATTAGTCTGGAAGGAATCCACAGCTTTTCATTTTCTGTGGAAACAAAAATAGAAATACTTTTCCCCAGTAACTTGTCCTTGAACTTAAATTTTGGAGTCAAAGCATTTTTTTATTTAATTTATTATTTTACATGTCGATCACAGTTCCCTCTCCCTCCCTCCCTCCCTCCCTTACTCCCTCCGTCCTTCCCTCCCTTTTACCCTCTCTGCCCTCTCATATGCACCCTAACCACCCTCCCCTCCCATCCCCCCACCCCAATTCCATATGTAGGGGAATGCCATCCAGTTGGGGTCATATAGATCTGACAGGTCATGTGAAGTAGGGACTAGGGCTTCTCTCCTGTCTCTAGGTTAAGGCAGTTATCCCTCCATGGGGAATGTGTTAGCAAGGTCCTTTTGTGCACCAGGGATACATCCTGGCTCCACTGTCTGAGGTCCCTTAGACTGCTCAGTCCTTCTTGGAGGGCAGCGAATGGAAAGAGAAGTAGGAGAAAATGAGGGGGAGGAAAGGAAAACAGGAAGATTGAGCCCGGTTAGAAATAGAAGACAGAGAGAGAGAGAGAGAGAGAGAGAGAGAGAGAGAGAGAGAGAGAGAGAGAATAAAAGAGGGAGCCAAAAGAAGATAAAATTGAACACAAAGAAAGGTCTAGAGAACTACAAAACTGCTAACAATTTGAGCATCCGTGGAAAGGCTACCATAAATGCCCTTCCTGGATAGTGAGATCAACAACTAACTTATCCATGGAGCCCTCATCTAATACCTGTTGGAAACAGGAGCAAATACCCATACATAAACACTGAGTCGAACTAGAACCCAGATGCAGATGGAGAGGACAAGATCAGGTGGCAGAAAGACATAGAGACAGCTGACCTGAACAAGGAGGAGCTAATGGGCCACCAGACTGACAGCTGGGAAGCCAGCATGGGACTGACTCAGGCCCCCCTAAATATGGGTCTCAGCCAGGCATATTTTTTATAAAAGCTCCATTCTCATGGGCCTGGCCCCTAAG